GTATGGCAGGGACCAACACAGCACTGTAAAGCAATTACCTTCCAATTAACAATAAACTTTAAAAAGCATCCATCTGCCAATGCAGGGGACAAGGTTCGATTCCTGGTCCTGGTAGATCTCACATTGCCTGGGGCAAAGAAGCCCATGTGCCACAACTACTGCACCCCAAAGCTTGTGCTGCACAAGAAAAGAGAAGTCACCATAATGAGAAGCCCAGGCACCCCAACCAGACAGCAGCCCCCCATCTGGTTGAAACTAGAGAAAAGTCAACACACAGCAAGGAAGACCTACTGCAGCCAAAAAAAAAAAATTCACGTAGAACTTTATATAGTTGGCCTTCCACATCCCAGGTTTGGCATCCTCAGATTCAACCATCCTATGGTGCTATACTGTACATTCAACTATACCTCTTTTTATTGCACTTGACACTACTATGCTTTGCAGAAACTGTTTTTTACAAACTGAAGGTCTGTGGCAATCCTGCATTAAGCAAGTCTGTTGGTACCATTTTCCAGGAGCATTTGCTTACTCTGTGTCTCTGCACCCCGTTTGGTTAGTTCTTACAATATTTTGAATATGTTCATTATTATTATATTTGTTATGGTGATCTGTATCTTTGAGGTTACTATTGCAAAAAGATTATGATTGACTGAAAGCTCATTTTTCACCAATAAAGTATTTCTTAATTAAGGTACTTATAGATTTTTTTATAGACTTAATGTGATTGCACACTTGGTACAAATTTTTCTTTTTTTTGACTGTCTCATGTGGCTTGTGGTATTATCATAGTCATACCAGGGATTGAAGCTGGGCCCTCAGCAGTGAAAGAGTGGAGCCCTAACCACTGGACCACCAGGGAATTCCCCCTAAATATAGCTTTTATATGTACTGAGATACAAAAAAAAAAAAAAATTATATGACTCACTTTATTGCAGTGGTCTGGAACCAAACCCACAATATCTTTGAAGTATACCTGTATTTATTTTTAAAAATTTGTGTATAAGAGGAGTTCAAGTGTGCAGTTCACACCGGTACTGTTCATGATTAACTATATATGGAAAAAAGAGAAGTTTTCAGAGAAATGAGAAAATAAATTTCCTACAGGAAACAAAATGAGACTAAATTTCACTTCTTATGATGAACAATGAATGCCAGAAAAAAACCAAGCAATGACTTTCAAAGTTCAGAGGGAAAATAACCTGCAACTTAGAATTCTAAACCCAACCATCACTCAAACATGAGGGGAGAAGAGACATCAGAAGAATCAGTTTATCTGCTGGGTACTCTCTCTCTTAAGAAGTTACTTGAGAATGAACTTCAGCAAAAAAAGAAAAGCTTTTAATTTTTAATTTAAAAAAAAACACCAAAACTGAGATCTAAGATCAGGGGGAAGGATCCAACTCAAAAATGCAATGAGGAAAATCCCAAGAAAAAGCCATGCAGATGACCTCAAGAATAATAGACTAGAATGTATATGATTGACAGCATGGGGAACAGTAGGATAATAATAAAGATAGACCAAAAAAGAAGAAAAAAAGACAAGATAAAAGAAAATCAGGAACTCCAGAAAGAGAATTTCCAGTTGAACTATTTAAATTCCTAAAAGATGATGCTGTGAAACAAACAAGGTTATGCTCAAAATTCTTCAAGCTTGACTTCAGCAGTAAGTGAACCCAGAACTTCCAGGTGTACAAGTTGGGTTTCAAAGAGGCAGAGGAACCAGAGATCAAACTGCTAACATTCGCTGGATTATGGCAAAAGCAACGGAATTCCAGAAAAATGTCTACTTCTGCTTCACTGACTACGCTAAAGCCTTTGTGTGGATCACAACAAACTGGAAAATTCTTAAAGAGATGGGAGTACTGGACCACCTCACCTGCCTCCTGAGAAACCTGTATGCAGGTCAAGAAGCAACAGTTAGAACCAGATATGGAACAACAGATTGGTTCAAAATTGGGAAAGCAGTACGACAAGGCTGTATATTGTTACCCTGCTTACTTAACTTAAATGCAGAGTACATCATGTAAAATGCCAGGCTGGATGAATCACAAGCTGGAATCAACACTGCCAGGAGAAGTTATCAATAACCTCAGATTATGCACATGATACCACTCTAATGGCAGAAAGTGAAGAGGAACTAAAGAGCCTCTTGATGAGGGTGAAAGAGGAGAATAAAAAAGTGGGCTTAACATTCAACATTCAAAAAACTAAGACCATGACATCTGGTCCCATCACTTCATAGCAAATAGATGTGGAAAAAGTGGAAACAGTCACAGCTTTTATCTTGGGCTCCAAAATTACTGCAGATGGTGACTGCATCCATGAAATTAAAAGACGCTTGCTCCTTGGAAGAAAAGCTATGACAAACCTAAATGGCATATTAAAAAGAAGAGACATCACTTTGCCGACAAAGGTCTATACAGTCAAAGCTATGCTTTTTCCAGTAGTCATGTACAGATGTGAGAGCTGGAAGGCTAAGTGCCAAAGAACTGACACTTTTGAACTACGGTGCTGAAGAAGGCTCTTGAGAGCCCCATAGCCTTCAAGGAGGTCCACTGGTCAATCCTAAAGGAAAGCAACCCTGAATATTCACTGGAAGGACTGATGCTGAAGCTCCTATACTCTGGCCCCTGATGTGAAGAGCCGACTCATTGGAAAAGACCCTGATGCTGAGAAAGACTGAAGGTAAAAGGAGAAGGGGCTGGCAGAGGATGAGATGTTTAGATAATATCGCCAACTCAATGGACATGAATACGAGGAAATTTCACAATATCATGAAGGACAGGGAAGGCTGGTTTAATCTCCATGGAGTTGCAAGAGTTGGACATGACTTACCGACTGAACAGTAACAATAACAATTCATAGTAACATTACTCACAACAGCCAAAAGGTATAGACAACCCAAATGTCCACTGAAGGATGAATAAACAAAATATGGCATATATGCACAGCAGAAGATCATTTGGCCTTAAAAAGGATAGAAATTCTGATCCATGCTACAACATGAATAAACCTTGAAGATATTATACTAAGTGAAATAAGCTAGACACAAAATGACAAATACTGTGCGGTTCCACTTACATGTGTACCTAGAGTAGTCAAAGTAGTCAGGGAAAGCAGAATGTGGTTCCGAGGAATTCAGGAAAAGGGGAAATGCGGAGTTAGCTATAAAGGGTACAGAATTTCAGTTGAGGAAGAGACTAGTTCTAGAGACTCTAGAGCAGTTCTAGAGACTGCTGATGATGATGGCTGCACAACAATATAAATATACTTAATGTCAATGATTTGTACATTAAAACTGATTTAAATGGTTATTTTTTATGTTATGTATTTTTGTACAACAACAAAAAAAATATGTATATGAATACTTTAACATGTAACACCTTTTCAGTGCTGCTCTCATTCCTTTTCCTTTTCCCAACTCCTGCCAGAAGAACCACTAGTCTGATTTCTATCATCGTATCTCTAGGAAACCAAACTGTTATCTACTTTTTTGTGTGTCTGGCTTCTTATATATATCTGTGAGATTCATCCATATTGTTTTGCAGTCGTTCATTACTCTCTATTGCTGAGTACAATTCCACTGTATGAATGTATCACAATATATTCATCTTTTCACCCGTTTTTAGACATTTGATTATTTTTTTTCTTTTTTGCTATTATAAATAAAGCTACAGTGAATATTTACATGCAAATCTTTATGTAGACATATATTTTCATTTCTCAAGGGTAAATACCTGGGGGTAGAATTTCTGGATTATTGGATACATGTATGTTTAGCTTGTAGAAAATACTCAATGATTTTCCAAAATTACAGTGCTGCTTTACACTGCTGTTTAAAACTTGGAATGATGAATAAGTTGATAATTAAAATTTACTTTTCCTTTTTAATACAAGTTGTTGTTTAATGCTATACAAACTGAGTACTGAATTCTCTAAAACTCTCAGTGCATCAGCTCTTCAACAAGGATCCATATCAGGGTCAACTAAAAAAAAAATGCACAATGTGAGTTGTGAGTTAAGTTTTATTTGGAGCTAAATGACAACTATAACCTAGGAGGCAGCAATTCAGACAGCTCTGAGAAACCCTTCTGAAGAGGTGGTAGGAAGGCCAGTGTATTATGTGATTTTGGTAAAGGCAGAATATATGCAATCAGGCACACATTTCTGCAGAATGTTGCTGCCAGTCTCGTAAAGGTGACTGCTAGTCACGAGAAGCACATTCACCATGAAAGATTTTAGTGCTTTTCTAGATGAGGAGATGCAAGAAGCAGGCTCATAAAATCTTCTCCTGAAAATATCTAACTATCTGAAGGCCTGTTCTGCCAGTTTTTCCCAAAGCACAGAATGCCTCATTCCTGATCTCCACCCTGAATCCTTTCAGGGTGGGGTTGAAGGTCAACTGTCTCAACTTGTAATTTGATCCTTGCAGAGGTAAATGGCAAGTGCCAATTTGTAGCTGACATCAGGATCATCTCTGCTCTACCCACAGAAACTTTGATTCAACAAGGGCAGGACAGCAGGGTACAGACTTTGGTCTTTCATTTCTTTTTTTTTTTTTTTGGTCTTTCATTTCTTAAAGCTCTTTAAGTGATCCTGGTTCATGACCAGGTTGAGAACCAGTGTTTTAACCAATGATAATTATAACATTTTTAAGCACACACACACACACAAAACCTACTCTTGGGACTTCCCCAGTGATCCAGTGGCTAAGACTCTGTGTTCCCAATGCAGGGGGCCTGGGTTCGATCCTTAGTGGAGAAGCTAGATCCCACAGGCCACAACTAGTAGTTCTCATGCTGCAACTCAAGACCCCGCATGCCGCAACTAAGACTTGACACAGCCAAATAAATAAATAAAAATATTCTGTTAAAAAAAAAAAACAAAACTACTCTTATAGCTTGGAAATTAAATGGGAGTGGGAGAAAATCTGATTTCAGCTATATTTTGTGAAGACAATAACTTGGGTGACAAATGTTTCCTTGTACTTCAGGTTTTACCTCTTTAGCTACTTGAACCGCATCATCCATCAACACTCATTGGAATTCCATTAAAAACTTTTTTCAGTTGTGCCACCTGCAACTAAAGAAAAAAAAAACCTTTAGAAAGATGAAACAGCCCTATTTAAAGAGCACTGGTTGTTCTGGGGGAGAGGGGTACACTCTACCAAGATATCACACAGAGTTGTACTGAACATTCCAGGAGCCACAGCACAAAACTTCATCTTAAATAGTTAATTCAGATCACTGACAAGCTCATGAGAACTGAATTCAACAATATATTAGGTCCTTACTGTAAGAGACAGGACGGAACACTCCTCCCTTGTCCAAAACCCTCGACTATTCCATGGTAAGGGTATTTATGTACCATAACTTTCCCATAGGGGACATTTGGCAATGTCTGAAGACAGTTTTGAATAACAAATCACAAGATGGCCCTTCCAAAACAAAGAATTATCCCCAAAAGCCAAAGCTGAAAACCCCAGCATTGGTCAAAAACACCCTCGGGTCCAACTTCTGCAACCTAAGTGTCTAGCTAAGTGCCCCAGGCCAAATCTATAAACCTCCTCAAGCCTCAGTTTTCTCCCTTGGAAAAAGACAATAGAGTCTGCATTCAATATTCTCTGCCTTTTCTAACTCCAGTTTGAACAGCTGGAAGTTCATGGTTCAAGTACTATTAAAGCCTGGCTTGGAGAATTCTGAGCATTACTTTGCTAGCATGTGAGATGAGTGCAATAGTGCAGTAGTCTGAACATTCTTTGGCATTGCCTTTCTTTGGGATAGGAATGAAAACTGACCTTTTCCAGAGGAACCAGAGATCAAATTGCCAACATCTGTTGGATCATTGAAAAAGCAAGCCGAGTTCCACAAAAACATCTACTTCTGCTTTGTTGACTATGCCAAAGCCTTTGACTGTGTGGAAAATTCTTAAAGAGATGGGAATACTGGACCACCTTACCTGCCTCCTGAGATATCTGTATGCAGGTCAAGAAGCAACAGTTAGAACTGTACGTGGAACTACAGACAGTTTTCAAATAGGGAAAGGAGTACTCGAAGGCTGCATATTGTCACCCTGCATATTTACTTTATATGCAGAGTATATCATGAGAAATGCCAGGCTGGATGAAGCATAAGCTGGAATCAAGATCAGTTCAGCTCAGTTGCTTAGTCATGTCTGACTCTAAGACTGCCAGGAGAAATATCAACAACCTCAGATATGCAGATGACACCACCCTTATGGCAGAAAGCAAAGAAGAACTTAAGAGCCTCTTCATGAAAGTGAAAAAGAAGAGCAAAAAAGTTGGCTTAAAACTCAACATTCAGAAAACTAAGATCATGGCATACAGTCCCATCACTTCGTGGCAAATAGATGGGGTAACAATGGAAACAGTGAGAGACTTTATTTTTTGGGGTTCCAAAATCACTGCAGATGGTTATTGGAACTGCGAAATTAAAAGACACTTGCTCTTAGGAAGAAAAGCTATGACAAGCCTAGACAGCATATTAAAAAGCAGAGACATGACTTTGCCAACAAAGGTCTGTCTAGTCAAAGCTATGGTTTTTCCAGCAGTCATATTTGGATGTGAGAGGTGTACTATAAAGAAAGCTGAGTGCCAAAGAATTGATACTTTTGAACTGTGGTGTTGGAGAAGACTCGAGAGTCCCTTGGACGGTAAGGAGATCCAACCAGTCATCCTAAAGGAAATCAGTCCTGAATATTCAATGGAAGGACTGATGCTGAAGCTGAAACTCCAATACTTTGGCCACGTGATGCAAAGAACTGACTCACTGGAAAAGACCCTGATGCTGGGAAAGGCTGAAGGCAAGAGAAGGGGACGACAGAGGATGAGATGGTTGGATGGCATCACCGACTCAAAAGCCATGAGTCTGAGTAAACTCCGGGAGCTGGTGATGGGACAGGGAGGCCTGGCGTGCTTCAGTCCATGGGGTTGCAAAGAGTTGGACATGACTTAGCTGAACTGACTGAACCCATCAGAAGAATGTCCACAAGCTGATCACGCCCCCTTTAAACAATTACTATAAAACTTCTCACTATCTTCCTCAAGTTGGGACACATGGTTTTAAGGGCATTAGCCCACTATGGGCCCCTTTCCCTGGCAAGGTAATAAAGCTACCCTTTTCTACTTCATCCAAAATTTCGGCACCAGTGTACAGAGAAACTGAGCTTTTGGGATCACTTTCCATTCTTTTGGGCATATACTAGAAGCAGAATTGCTGAATCAAGTGGTAATTATATGTTTAATTTTTAAAAATATCTCCAAACTGTTTTCCACAGCTGCTATATACCACTTTACATTCTCACCAACAGTGCACAATGTTCTAATTTCCCCACATCCTCACCAACACTTGTTTTCTGGTTTGATAGTAGGCACCCTACTGATGTGAGCAGGACAGTCACTTTATGTCCTAGCAGACAAAAAGCTTTACTGCTCAGAACCCTCTTCAAGAAGGGACTTCTTACTTAGTTGTGGAGACTGGTTAGCTGACAGCTTCCTTCTGTTAATCCCTTCAGAATTCACCTTAGTTTTCAAATAGAGGGTACCCTTTCCTCAGGACTGCCCCTAGCCAACGAGTGGACAATGTGGCGTGGTACAATGGCCTAGACCTTCCCAACCAGTGAGGCGATTTGGCAATCTGGGCTGATAAGAGATTTTCTCAGGTGTGCACTGCAGTCTGACGGCTTCCCATGCCCGACCTAACCTGTTCTGCCACTTCACAGGAATTACTCCTCAAAAAGTCCTTTGCTCTCCTACTCCATCGCAATCTGATTCCTGGAGAACCCAACTGGCACATATACTAAGTGTACTATTTACACTGATGGAGTAACAAAAACCACTGGGGAAAAATAAGACCCCCAATTAAATAAACTAAAATGTTAACAATGGTGAGACCTCTGTACTATTTAAGTATTCCTCATTAGAGTTAGTTGCTCAGTCATGTCCAACTCTGTGTGACCCCATGGACTGTAGCCTGCCAAGTTCCTCTGTCCATGGAATTCTCCAGGCAAGAATACTGCAGTGGGTAGCCATTTCCTTCTCCAGGGGATCTTCCCAACCCAGGAACTGAACTGGGTCTCCTGCACTGCAGGCAGATTCTTCACCATCTGAGCCACCAGGGAAGTATTCCTTAACCACCATTTATTCGTTATACATAATAATAAAACCATTAGAAGATGCTATAGTAAATTCTGCTCCTAAGGAAATATTCTAATGGTAGGATAAATTTGTATATTTTGTATACTCTGTGTCCAAAATTTCACTAAAGAGTGAGTCAAACAAATTGCTGGTCTTCTTAAAAAAAAAAAAAAAAAAAGCACATGCCCAGGTACCAAGGAACTTAAAGATCAGGCATTGGGCTTTACAGACTTTTCATAGGGTTCCTCATTTGTTTATAAAGACTTTCAGAAGAGACAATGGAGCCTGTTCATTCACCCTCATGTTTTCATAGATGACATCAATGCCCCAGATAGGAGGAGGGAAGAACATTTGTTGGCCTTGTTTCTCAATGCCTATGTCCATTTCTCTTTCCAGCTAAAGAGGTAATATGTCTAAATGTAGGAAGTACATTAAACATACAATTCCAAAAAGGAATTGTATTTAAAGTAAGATTATCCCAAGAACTGTTCAAAATGTATCTCTTTCTATGAAAAATTGAATGGTGGCATCTAATACCACCATTCCAGGCAGTTACCAAGTGCTGACTCCCTCAGTGCATGAATAGACACAAGCCTTTATCATCTTAAAGAACCTTTCAAACGAAATCTCTAATGCCTTCCATTCCCAGCTATCACTTTCTCCCCTTTCCTTTCCTGCCAATCTTCTCAATAGTACACTTAGTGTCTCTTCTCTACTTCACACCCTTTGACATACACTCTCACTTTGTCTCCAAAGGAACTCCTCTTGATAAACAGTCAACGACAATCTTCAAAGAAGATCTCACAATCCTTATTTATACCACCAAATTGTGAATCTGACCACTGCCACAAGTCCCATCATTACTCAACCAGAATCAACAAGCTGGAATCAACATTACTGTGAGAAATATCAAGCAGCTCAGATATGCAGGTGATACCACCCTAATGGCAGAAAGCAAAGAGGAACTAAAGAGCTTCTTGATGAAGGTGAATGAGGAGAATGAAAAGGCTGGCTTAAAATTCAACTTTGCAAAAACTAAGATCATGGTGATGCTTGCTCCTTGGAAGAAAAGCTATGACAAACCCAGCCCAAGCATATTATAAAGCAGAGACATCAATTTATCAACAAAGGTCTGTATAGTTAAAGTTATGGTTTTTCCAGTAGTCATGTATGGATGTGAGAGTTGGACTATAAAGAAGGCTAAGCACTGAAAAATTGATGCTTTCAAACTGTGGTGCTGGAAAAGACTCCTGACAGTTCCCTGGACAGCATGGAGACCAAACTAAAGGAATCCTAAAGGAAATCAACCCTGAGTATTTATTGGGAGGACCGACGCTGAAGCTCTAATACTTTGGCCACCTGATGTGAAAAGCTGACTCGCTGGAAAAGACCCTGATGATGAGAAAGAATAAGGGCAAGAGGAGAAGGGGGTGAGAGAGGATGAGATGGCTGGATGGCATCAACACCTCAATGGACATGAATTTGAGCAAATTCCGGGACATAGTGAAGGACAGGAAAGACGTGTGTGCTGCAGTCTATGGTGTTGTAAGAATTGCACACAACTTAGCGACTGAACAATAGTGGATAAAAATCACCATCTATCCCAGGAATCAGCAAACTTTTTCTGTGAAGAGCCACACAGTAAACATTTGGCTTTGGCGGTCATACAGCCTCGTGTATACAGCCTGTCACAGTTACTCAGCTCTGCTGTTGTGGCATAAAAGCTGCAACAGACAAAAGGTTAAGTGCAGCTATAGTCCAATTTCATTTCAGAACACTGAAATTTGAATTTTACATAATATCCATATGTCATAAAATATCACTCTTCTTTTGATTTGACTTTTTCCAACCATTTAAGGGTGTTAAAACAACTCT